AGCGCGTGCATATTTGACGTCTTTATTTTTTATATCTTTTGACGCGATTATATTTATTATACATTGCTTATACCGAGATTATTTTTAACATGATATTAGAAAAAAAATACCCACTCTCAAAAAATATTTTAATATTTTATAATATTTTAATATCTTAATATTTATATAGAAAGATAACTGATTATATATACTTAGATACATATCTTTGAAATAATTTATGTAAACAGAAAATCTGTTTCAAGACGAATGAGCTTCATGTACACATTCCTGTGTACATAATAAATGAACGAATGTATTTTAAAGTAAAATATTAATATTCTTAATCCATACAATTCTGAGATAATAGATTCGTAATACATTAATCTATCTTTAACATTTTTGTTATTCTACATTTAAATTTTTGATCTGTATTTAATATAGTAATAACTGTAGACAAATAAAAAAAAAATAATAATCAAGCAATTTATAAAATAAATAACATAGAACATTTTTTTTTATTATTGCATCTATTATCATTGCAAATAAAAATTTTTATACGTGGATAATCAGATAATCAGGAAATTTGTCAGAAAAAGACTAATTTTTAATCTTTTTTTTAATATATCTTTTTCTATATAATTATTGTATATATTTTAATCTTATACATGTTATCTTAATATTTCGTATAAATCATATGCATATAATATTTGCGAATCTATGACTTCAAGAAAGATAACTGATTATATATACTTAGATACATATCTTTGAAATAATTTATGTAAACAGAAAATCTGTTTCAAGACGAATGAGCTTCATGTACACATTCCTGTGTACATAATAAATGAACGAATGTATTTTAAAGTAAAATATTAATATTCTTAATCCATACAATTCTGAGATAATAGATTCGTAATACATTAATCTATCTTTAACATTTTTGTTATTCTACATTTAAATTTTTGATCTGTATTTAATATAGTAATAACTGTAGACAAATAAAAAAAAAATAATAATCAAGCAATTTATAAAATAAATAACATAGAACATTTTTTTTTATTATTGCATCTATTATCATCGCAAATAAAAATTTTTATACGTGGATAATCAGATAATCAAGAAATTTGTCAGAAAAAGACTAATTTTTAATCTTTTTTTTAATATATCTTTTTCTATATAATTATTGTATATATTTTAATCTTATACATGTTATCTTAATATTTCGTATAAATCATATGCATATAATATTTGCGAATCTATGACTTCACACAAAATAAAAATAAAAAATAATTTAATTCTCTCTCTTACTCACCGACGTTGTATCTGTAAAGTACAGATTGCCTGATGTCTCTTTGGACTTGCTCGTCTTCTGTTGTTCATAGTTTCAGTTGCTTTTCATGGAATAACGCTCACTTGCGAAAGCATAGTTAGTTACGATTGTCCGCGCACTAATTAGCAAAATATGATCGTTGTACGGTATATTTTGTACGGCACTCCCGGTATCAGTCAGTAACGCAACGCGCACTTATTATATTTTTCGTATATCGCGTAAATAGAAATACACATAATTATCCTTACGATTAGATTATATTAAATGCATTGTAATGCCTTTCCTACTCGTAGTCAGGCTGCTCTGTCCTTTTATTGGTGATTGAAAATGATATCGGTTATTGGTTTATTCTAATACCACGCAAACCAAGTTGATTAAGACGCGATTCGAGAATATATATAAATATAACCGAAATAAATGGTTATTATTAATAAAATTAGTTAACATATTACGAGTCTCTATTGCTTGAATTATTCAATTTGATGATTGATGTATTACTTCGTCACTAAAATAATGGACAAATTACCAATATTTAAAGCTGGATAAAATTTTCAAAGCGCGACGCGAAATACATCCGAATCTAAGCAAAGTCCAAGATACAATTATCGTCCGTAAACAGAGATCTCAATAAAATGATATTTTATAATTTTTGTCGTCACGATTCTTATCTGAAATTTTTAAGTCGCGCGAAATATTCGCACAAGTAGCCGATTTGTTTCAGTATGAATTCACATCGCGAGAGTTAATCGAGATTAGTAATTGCCAATTGTGATAATCGATAAGGAAATGATTGCGTTCAGCATCTCAGTACTTGTCGTGATCATGTCTCGAAAGATAATGTTGACGTAGCTCGCGCCGCTCGAGTGTTGCCGCGTGAATGACCAAGGTTACGGTATGTAAATAAGGTCGCGCCGTATACGTCGTCAAGGCGCATACCAGTGTCGGTGTGAATTCCTTAGCATTACGAAATATTTAACACATTATAAAATAAATTTGTGTCCTATATATTCGATTTTTTTAATCTCTTAAACTAATCGTTAACAAACGGTGTATCTCTTTTATGAAAACTCCACGTTATTTAAATCATACTTGTACTCGATATTATTGTATTTCTTGTACTCTTATACGTTCACAATTCAAATATAATTGTGGCAAGTTACGTTTAAACGGGCGAAAAATGTGCACGATGCGAGATATATCCAAGTTCAAGCATTGTTAAAGAGACTAATTTTCCGTAAAAATTTCGATAAAACGATAATACTTTTCGCTTTTTATTCTTTATCGTTGTTTCGCGATTGTTATTTGAAAAGTATAAATCGTATGAAATACTTGCTTTGATAAGTAACCGTTGTCTCGGTATAGTTTACGAGTTGCTAATCGCGGGAGTTTATTAATCGTTATGATTATAGTGACAACACAGAAAAAAATCTCGTATTACAAAGTAATACACGTGCCACTACCTTCTCGTTCAAGTTTCTCCGTACGAACGACAACAAGGTTGCCATACGTCAACAGTATATACCCTGCATAATTCGGCGTAAGTTTTTGTTATTCGAACACATGCGTATCATAATACATCAAACTATCGTGATATATACGCGATATAATCAACAGATACGACAGTCTAGCGCAGAGTATACTCACGTAAAGTATACATCATGTACAGATTAATACCGGGAAATATCGCGCGATTATTTTACTAATTCGTGCGCGAATCGTAATTAACTGTCCTTGCGAGTGAGTATTATGTCTTGAAGAAGCAGTTGAATAGATGAACAAGAAAGAAGAAGCAGGCTCAAGAAGAGGCGATCTATAATTTATTTTTAGATCACGTGGTGTTTTTACAGCTTCACTGTTGCACATCGTATCGGTAAGTGAAAGAAAGTTATAATATTTTTAATTTATCTTAGAAGGCGATCATTATAATATCGTTATACTTAGCAATTATCCGCGCGATTCATTAACATTTAAACGATGTAAACGATGCGTAAAAATTTTGCGTATTTATTCGAAATAAGAATCGAAATATAAATCATTGTTCTGTTGCGATATTGACTATAACTATTTCTGTAAATAACTACTTGGAATCTGAAATATGCTAATGTAAAAGAAAAAATTCAGTTGCTTTTCATGGAATAACGCTCACTTGCGAAAGCATAGTTAGTTACGATTGTCCGCGCACTAATTAGCAAAATATGATCGTTGTACGGTATATTTTGTACGGCACTCCCGGTATCAGTCAGTAACGCAACGCGCACTTATTATATTTTTCGTATATCGCGTAAATAGAAATACACATAATTATCCTTACGATTAGATTATATTAAATGCATTGTAATGCCTTTCCTACTCGTAGTCAGGCTGCTCTGTCCTTTTATTGGTGATTGAAAATGATATCGGTTATTGGTTTATTCTAATACCACGCAAACCAAGTTGATTAAGACGCGATTCGAGAATATATATAAATATAACCGAAATAAATGGTTATTATTAATAAAATTAGTTAACATATTACGAGTCTCTATTGCTTGAATTATTCAATTTGATGATTGATGTATTACTTCGTCACTAAAATAATGGACAAATTACCAATATTTAAAGCTGGATAAAATTTTCAAAGCGCGACGCGAAATACATCCGAATCTAAGCAAAGTCCAAGATACAATTATCGTCCGTAAACAGAGATCTCAATAAAATGATATTTTATAATTTTTGTCGTCACGATTCTTATCTGAAATTTTTAAGTCGCGCGAAATATTCGCACAAGTAGCCGATTTGTTTCAGTATGAATTCACATCGCGAGAGTTAATCGAGATTAGTAATTGCCAATTGTGATAATCGATAAGGAAATGATTGCGTTCAGCATCTCAGTACTTGTCGTGATCATGTCTCGAAAGATAATGTTGACGTAGCTCGCGCCGCTCGAGTGTTGCCGCGTGAATGACCAAGGTTACGGTATGTAAATAAGGTCGCGCCGTATACGTCGTCAAGGCGCATACCAGTGTCGGTGTGAATTCCTTAGCATTACGAAATATTTAACACATTATAAAATAAATTTGTGTCCTATATATTCGATTTTTTTAATCTCTTAAACTAATCGTTAACAAACGGTGTATCTCTTTTATGAAAACTCCACGTTATTTAAATCATACTTGTACTCGATATTATTGTATTTCTTGTACTCTTATACGTTCACAATTCAAATATAATTGTGGCAAGTTACGTTTAAACGGGCGAAAAATGTGCACGATGCGAGATATATCCAAGTTCAAGCATTGTTAAAGAGACTAATTTTCCGTAAAAATTTCGATAAAACGATAATACTTTTCGCTTTTTATTCTTTATCGCTGTTTCGCGATTGTTATTTGAAAAGTATAAATCGTATGAAATACTTGCTTTGATAAGTAACCGTTGTCTCGGTATAGTTTACGAGTTGCTAATCGCGGGAGTTTATTAATCGTTATGATTATAGTGACAACAGAAAAAAATCTCGTTTTACAAAGTAATACACGTGCCACTACCTTCTCGTTTAAGTTTCTCCGTACGAACGACAACAAGGTTGCCATACGTCAACAGTATATACCCTGCATAATTCGGCGTAAGTTTTTGTTATTCGAACACATGCGTATCATAATACATCAAACTATCGTGATATATACGCGATATAATCAACAGATACGACAGTCTAGCGCAGAGTATACTCACGTAAAGTATACATCATGTACAGATTAATACCGGGAAATATCGCGCGATTATTTTACTAATTCGTGCGCGAATCGTAATTAACTGTCCTTGCGAGTGAGTATTATGTCTTGAAGAAGCAGTTGAATAGATGAACAAGAAAGAAGAAGCAGGCTCAAGAAGAGGCGATCTATAATTTATTTTTAGATCACGTGGTGTTTTTACAGCTTCACTGTTGCACATCGTATCGGTAAGTGAAAGAAAGTTATAATATTTTTAATTTATCTTAGAAGGCGATCATTATAATATCGTTATACTTAGCAATTATCCGCGCGATTCATTAACATTTAAACGATGTAAACGATGCGTAAAAATTTTGCGTATTTATTCGAAATAAGAATCGAAATATAAATCATTGTTCTGTTGCGATATTGACTATAACTATTTCTGTAAATAACTACTTGGAATCTGAAATATGCTAATGTAAAAGAAAAAATCTTTTCGACACGGATTATGCAGAACGTGCTTTCTTAAATTAAATCAGTGAAAATATCATCGAAGATGAATGAGTATTTCATTTCGCTTAGACGCGGAATTCTTATCGCGCGCGTGCGTAGAGTTAACATAATATTTTTTCTCCGCCTCACTTATGCAATTAGTCGATTCCTTGTATATTCACCGGGACCGATTTCTCGACGACTACAGACCTAACGAATCCGAAAATCAAACTAATCGCCGCAGCCCTTGAGCTCAGTAAATTGGCTGCCTAGTCTCCTCGGGCTATTAGACTGTCGAGAATGAGTGCGCGTATAGAACACCGGTTAGCAGCGGCACAAGTGTAGCGATAATGTAAACATGATTTGTAACACAAAAGCTACACGGGGGTGGGTAGGTAGGTACGCGCCTGCCACATGTTCTGGAGAACGCGTGTTCGTGTCAACGTGCGCCCGTTCAATACATGAACGAGCCTATATAGTCCTTCATCCTTACTGCCGACGATGTATATACAAGCAAACAAGCCTTAGGTCTCTCGACCAATGTTTGTCCGTCGTGCCAATTAATCAGCAGATACCGTAAACTCATTTCCCTCGCGGCTTTTTCTTAGTCACGGACTTATCGTCACCGTATCGAGCAGATTATTCTTTTCAGGTATGTAACTGATTTTTGAAGAGAATCTTTTTTAGAAAAATAAAGAATTTTAAATTACAACGTAATTTTTCTATAGATATATTTATTATATATCAATTTTTGAAATTATTCTTTGTGGAGGATTTTATTTCACTGATATTGAATCTAGAAAGAGCGTTTTATTTCCTTTGAAAAATTAAAAATAATATAAAAATTCGCGAATTTTATGATTTTGCTTTATGCTATTTTTTATTATTTTTTTTTATTTTTAGAACGAATTTTTAGACAATATAATATTCGAAGAATTATGCTGGCAGTTTTTCTAGTTAAATATAAAATTATTGTTTAAATAAATTGTTTATCGAAATTAAACTAGCAGAAAAAATGCACAAATAAGTCTTATTGTATTTTCCGCCTGCTTTTGGCTTCCCCTAGAATTGATCCCGTTTGTCTATTCTCAATGGACAAATATTAACCAACTGCTTGTACCGATCTTGAGTCAATACTAGTACAATAAAATAGTGAATGAGAACTTAAGAACTTTTAGCAGATCATTAAAACTAAATTACGTTTAATGACATATAATTTTAATGCCGCATTTAATTCGAAATGTAGCTTTCTTATTCTATCAGATTTTTTTGGTTTAATACAAAAATCACATTTTTTCCAATTGTACGCGTCGTTTGTTTTCAATAATTTTTCACGAGTTGCGCGTACGTATAGATATTGTTGAGGCAAGTAAATTTCAATAGCTCGCGGCTACATAGTAACTACATCATTTTGTCTTGCTGCTGAACGTTGCCCCTTGTAAAATTCACTTGCAATCACGGCGCTGTATAATGATTTACCTGTGAAATAGATAATTATGCGGTACAGTTCAATACAACGCACAACACAGTGCAACTTTGCAAATACTCGCAATTGTGTTTTGCCGCTCAATATATGTTCGGAGATAAATGTTCTCTATATTATATATTAAAATATTATTGTTAATTGTAATGATATATATATATATATAT